TCCTAAGAAACCAGAGGCCTTTCTCCTGGGCATAGCCGGCCAAATGGTGTTAAAAAGGATAGAACTTTCTTTATGTATGCAACAACAGCAGCAAGAATACTCATCGCAAAGTATTGGAAGACACAAGAACTTCCCACACTGGAGGAATGGCAGATGAAAATTATGGACTATATGGAATTGGCGGAAATGACTGGTAGAATCCGTGACCAGGGAGAAGAGTCGATGGAGGAAGACTGGAAGAAATTCAAAGACTATCTTCAGAAACATTGCAAAATTAAGGAATGTTAAAGGGATGTTGGACTGAAAGTAAGTGGTTTCCAGCTGCACAGGTTAAAGTTAATGATAGATTAAAGATTAAAGATCAAGATTAAAGATGTTTAAAGAAATGGAAATTTGATATTAAAAGGGAAAATTTTAACGTTATATGATATTAAGATCAAGGATTAGGTTTAAAAAAGTTGAAGTTATATGTTTTAACATTTTATTAAATTAAAGATTGGGATTAAAAAGTGGAAAAGAAACTGCTGGACAAATAATGTGGATTGGAATACAAAAGAGGGAGGTATGAGGAAGTCCAGAAAATAAGTAATTTAAAATTGGAAATGGAAAAGAGAGTTTGTTTTTAATTGTTATATTTTTTGTTTTTTATTGTTGAGTTTTGTATTGTTTTTTGTGTGTGTTGTTTTTTTCTTTTGTTGTTTAAAACTTTAATAAAAATTATTTTTTTTTAAAAAAAAGGAAGAGGCAGAAAACACCTGGCAGTGGTGATCGCTTGGTGCCTAGCAGTGGTGCGCACCCCCAGGAGCCTGTCACTGTGAGGCAACTGCTTCACCATGCCTTGTAGGCAGGCTGGGCCTGATCAAATGTTTTCTTTTTAAAAAATAATAATAAAATCTGTTTTATAGCATCTTCGGTGATAACAAGTTGATTTTACCTGTCTTAATTATTTTTAACCCTATTATCCTTATTGGTTGTTTCTTTCTATCCTAAATCTCCAGGTCACTTGAAATGGGCCAATAATATATTAACCAACAGCCATTGCATCTTTGGGCCAAAATGAGAGCATTTTGTTCTGCATTTCGACTTATGAAAATGTGTTTCAGAAATACGAAAAAACCTATAAAAGTTTAGTAGCTTCAATAACACTGGGAATCTGTTTTAAATTCGTTTTATTTCTGCTATAACATCACACCGCTTACCTCATTTGAAAAGCGCCTCTTTCCCGGCGGTTAGCAATCGCCCATCAGTTATAGCGGAGTCAGACATGGTCTGTTAAATCCATGGTAAAAATTAGGAAGCGTGGATGTTAATATCCCTTTAATTGCTCTGCCAGCAAAAAGCTGGGCAGAATAGCAAACATGAATCATGACAAATATTTCCTATAAAAACACTTTCGGGTGGCACAATGAGTTCCTTTTTTTCCAACTTTTTATATCCCATTTCATGGCTTGCCCTGACAAGAAAAGTAATGTTTTGGTGAGGTTAGGGAGATTGCTGCCTGTTTTCATAGCTGGAGTCATTGAGAAGCCTTTCCTTTATTAACCCCTCAGCATCAGTTTCTATTTTGTCAAGAAAATAAATATGATGTGAGCACTGAATATTAAGTAGAAGAATGTCTGTTTTCCTTCCTCGGTTTGTGTTTATTTTGCCCAATGTAACTTGCCTTAAAAGAAACATCCTACAAGGATGTTTGATATATAATTGTTTTGGCAACAGATTGTAATAATTAACATCAATGTGTGTGTGTGTGTGTGTGTGTGTGTGTGTGTATTCCTACCTCGAAGTATCTCTGCAATGTCTCAGTGTTCCTATGCCTTGATTAAGAACCCATCTGCTCTATACATTTAAAACAGCACCATACCACTTTAAACAGTCATGGCTTCCCCCAAAGGATCATGGGAATTGTAGTGTGCTAAGGGTGCTGAGAGTTGTTAGGATACCCCTTCTCCATTCACAGAGCTACAATTTCCTGAATGGTTTCACAATCAATCCCTCTTAGCTCTCTGAAGGGAATAGGGGTCTCTTAACAACTCAACACCCTTGGCAAACTATGGCTCCCATAATTCCTTCAGAGTGAATGATACTGCTTTAAATGTATAGCGTATTTTTTTATTATTATTTCAACTGTGTCAGACCAACATGGCTACCTACCTGAATCTAGAATAATTTAAAGGTGGGACTCAGTTTGGCAATCCCCGCATTATAATATTATGCCCATCTATAAATTGCCCATTTTTATACAGTATGAGCCACTACCGTCTGTCTCTCTGCGTGTATGTGTGTGCCCATTATCATTTTTCATAAACACCCCCCCTTTATTTTTCTTTTTTAGATCATGATTTGCTTATACACATTGAACAAGTCAGAACTGGTTTGTTAAGTCAATAAAGTAATCATTGTTACCATACCAACTCGGGACTGATGCGATCTCTGTAGAGCTCAGTCAGAGAACACACAGAAGCCTTGATATTCGCATCATGCTGTGCTCTCAAAGGAAGCTGACTATTTTTACCCCTGTCCTGCGGTGCTCATGAAATAAATGTGCAAAGCGTTACAGATAGCTAAATAAAACTATATGCTCTATGATCCAGAGGGGAGAGTCAAAACTGAACGCCTATCATTTTGGAAGAAAGGTGCGGCTGCATAGACACTTGGAATGGGCAGCGCAATCTTATTCTGCCATGATGCTGGATTTGAGCTGCTTTGATGTTGGAATGGCTGCTATCTCCAATACATGCACTCTGCCCAAGTCAGGAGGGGGCAACACTGTAGAAAGAAAAATTCAAATGGCGCAAAAAAATAAAGAGGGGAAGGATCTTGTTCTCTTGTGCTAGTTGAACCAAGGTGTACTGATATGAAATGTGTTATTTCATTGATTTATGGTATGCTCATGGAATAATACATGGGCAACGCTTAGTTAAAGCTATGGTTTCCCCAGTAGTGATGTATGGAAGTGAGAGCTGGACCATAAAGGCTGATCACCAAAGAACTGATGCTTTTGAATTATGATGCTGGAGGAGACTCTTGAGGGTCCCATGGACTGCAAGAAGATCAAACCTACCCATTCTTAAGGAAATCAGCCTTGCGTGCTCACTGGAAGGACAGATCATGAAGCTGAGGCTCCAATACTTTGGCCACCTCATGAGAAGAGAAGACTCCCTAGAAAAGACCCTGATGTTGGGAAAGATTGAGGGCACAAGGAGAAGGGGACGACAGAGGACAAGATGGTTGGACAGTGTTCTCGAAGCTACAAACATGAGTCTGACCAAATTGCAGGAGGCAGTGGAAGACAGAATTGCCTGGAGTGCTCTGGTCCATGGGGACACGAAGAGTCAGACACTACTAAGCAACTAAACAACAACAACAACAACAAAAAGAATGACACTATAAACTTAATCCTATGTTTATGACTATTTTTGTGTGAAGCCTGTATATTATTATTATTATTATTATTATTATTATTATTATTAAAGTGCAGGAATGCCAGCTATGCTTCCAGTGGACATGCTGCAGCTGTCCACCAATTCCAAGAAGTGATGGAGGTGACACCTTCACAATTCTTAGAAACAGAGATTTATACACTCTGGGAATGGGAAGAACTGTGTCAGAGAGCAAGAGACTTCACACAGTGTTTCCAGGTGGGTGGGTGGTTAGAGAGTGCTTAGGTGTTCACTCTTTCTCCTGGTGCATCTTTTCCGCTCCTCTTTTCTTCACACCTGTTGGTGGCCTGTCCATTATTCACACTAAAATATCGTTTTCCATCAGAAAGATTTTTATACTGATAGCATATTGTGATCATTCAGGGAGCTATGACTGCCATTAAAGCCTGTCCTTTGGAATATATACTATATTATGCAGTCATGAACTTCTATATTAATGTCATTTGACCCTTGGCAATATTAGTCTATAGAGGGATGTTATCACTTCATTTGAAGGATTGCTACATTAACTTCTATAAGTGATGAGCTCTGGCACCATTCATGTTGAAAAAGATCACATTGATTCATTTGCAACACCGGCACTTCTAAGGAGACTTTGTTTTGAAACACGATATATTGCTGTGACCCTCGTATTCTTTAACTATTGTCTGCTGGGGAACTTTCCCTTCCGTTAGGATCATTCTTTTCATATTTTGTCTATAAGTGAACAACCAAAACAATAGTTTTACTTCAATTAGTAGTAGAAAGATGTCCACGCCATGCCATTTCAAATCCCCTCCCCCCAGTTAACAGAAAAAAAGCTCCCATTTCCAACACATGGTCACAATTGTGGACAATGTCCCGGCTCCCACTATATGAGAGGAAGATTGTGGGTATACAGAAACCTTTATTGCTCAAATCCTTACAGTGCAGAAAGCTGAGTAAATAGGCAGAACATGTGCCAGGCAGAGGGAGGCAATGTTTTAGCTGCATCCGAGTTCCGTTGTCAAGCAAGTAGGGGCTAGGTGTCTCCAAGGAACTATTTCCTGAGAGCAGAATCCACATAGGACGTCTGACAGTCCAGGGATCAGAGAATCCAGATGATCACAGAGTCAAGGGTTTAGATGGAGAGCAAGAAGCAACAAGGTAGGGGCAGGAACTACCGGCATTGTTTCCAGCATCTGACTGCTGCTGAGAGTTCTGTTTAAGATAAGGTTACCGGACATCCCCGTTTCCCAGGGACAGTCCCCTGATTTACAAATCAGTCCCTATACAAAATCCATTGAAGTTGAAAAGTGTCCCCGGATTCATTGAAAAAAAATCTGGGAACCTGAAATATACTTGGAGTCCTGTAGTGATTTCATGCTCTTTATTGCAGATTGTAAAACAGTGATTGAATTGCCCCCCAAACCTCAGGCTTTTATATGCATTATTTACACAATGAGTCCCATCTGATTGGCTGATTCTGCTTCCCTCCTGGAGCCTGATTGGTCTTTTCCTGCAGGCCAATCAGTTGTTGCATTCTAGGATTCTACTTGCCTATTGTTCTAGGATCCAAGCTTAGTACATAACAGAACCTTAGTTTAAGAGTGCCAGAGCCAGCTGGCTCTCATCAGTGCCTTTTCCTCTGTGGAGGCTGATCAGCTGCAGGTGGAATCACTCACCTTCTCCCCCTTCAGGCTGCTGTTCAGCAAGTGAAGCTGACCTCTGGCCCATAACAAGCAAACTAAAACGTCGATCCAACCAGCAAGCAAGACATGTCCTGGAATCCTATCATATGGGAATGAGAATGGCGCAACTTAGCACGGCAAAGGGGACTGGGAAAGCGAAAATGCAGCCCTCTGTGAAGGCTGAGCCTGAACTATCTGTTCACACCTGCACTGGGGTGATGAAGATGACATTGCAAACACTCGGGAACAGAGTGACAGCCTCCTGCTGGTGGCATGCTCTGGTAATGCTATAGGTGGAGTTGGCATAATAGGCAGAGCATGTGCAGGTGCCCTACACTGTGATGACTTGTGGGACAGGGCAAGAGGCAGGCACCCCACTAGGACCTTTCCTGAGATCCACTTCCCCAAGCAGCTCCCTGGGCTCCCTAGACCCTGGTATGCTCTGCCCCAACCTATTGGATCTCCCCCCTCCCAGGATCGTATGGGGCCAACTACTCCCTTTAGTTTTCATCTGGCCAGTCCCTGTCCACCACAGCCCCAATGCTTCCCCATTGCCCAGGACAAACACATATAGTATGGGGCAATGGCAACATATGGTTTTATTGCATTGTTTGTTTTCTATTGCATATTTCTAACCTTTGTTCCACCAAAGAACCCAAGGCTATGTTTGGGTGGACACGGATCAGGCCCAGACCTGCTGTACCTTCAGTAGATCTGTGGCCTCGGGTGCCTTCAAATCATAGCCAGGGACTATCCTCATACTGTAACCGATCTTAAACAAAAATCCAGTCACATGACTCAAGCACCTTCTGTTGGGAATAATTTTTAAAAAGAGTGGTTAATCTCCAGTGTAATGATTCAGTTGTAATCTTTGAATGGGCTCTATGATCTGGAGAGGAACTCCACAAGTTAACGGCTCATAAGACAGAGGTCCCATACCTGATAGAAATATATCAGAGTTAATGTAAACACAGGGAAAACAGGATTTAAGAATTTCACTATGGTGGCTTTTGAAATAGGCCCAAGGGTCTTCACTACACTGTGAGGCGCTAATTTACCTGGGAACTTCATAGTTGCTATGGTAATTGGCTCTCAAGATGTCCCCAAAATACCTCTTATGCAGTTGTAGCCATAGGTTAATTTAATATTCTTATTGCTAAGCAATACTTTGATTCAGTGTCATTATGTTTTGAGTTATATATTTCTGTCTGGAAATGTCAAGGCAATTCATCCCTATTCGTTTTTAGGACTTTTGTGTTCTTCTTGTTTAAAAAGAGTTAATTGCATTTTCCCCTCTGGCACAATTTATTTGTCTGGGTTTTATTTGTAGGTGGAAAGAACAGCAACAGGACACTGAGCTGAAAAGCAAATGATATCAGCCTGGAACATGAAATTAAGTGTGTAATTTAGGGCACTACTAGACAGTAGTAGTTCTATGTATTGTGTGGCAAGAGGTCTCCCCTACCCTTCGTTCCTTCCCAATACCAAGAATAAGAGGCATGATAACAAATATTTGGGTGAAATCAGGCCACAACTTTATTGACTACAGATATAAGAGGTTTGGCATAGACATTGGGTAGACCCCATTGCTTCTGGCCTGCCTGCTGGAATAATTGTGTTTGGGGGTCAACCAGAAACAAGGGAGTCCCTGACCTCTACATCAAGGGGTAACAGCCCCACTGGATTGCACCTGGGAAGTGCTCTGGCCCCTTGCCCCCACCTGAGTGTCCAGATAGCAGCATATCTCCTGGATCCATTTAATGGGATACCCATTTCAGAGAGGCCAGGCAGAGGCTACAACCTTCCTTCCAATCAAGACTACACCTGTCCAATGCCCAAACAGCCAAAGTTGTGACACCATGAGGGTGGTAAAACCCAGAGGGCTGGAACCAATTTGCCAACTGGGAAAATTCCGACTTGGCCCCAGATACAGTGACTGACCATACCATAGCAAAACTGGGCTGCAACATGTGGAAGCAAGATATTTATAGGGATGGAGGGTGGAAATGAAAAATGGCTGCAGTGCGAGCCATGGGCCTATGTTATATACTGGAGCTGGTGCCCTATGCCCACTCATGATTCGCTGGTTAGGTGAGTTGGCAGGATCAATTACCCAGGCAGGAAGCTCAGCTCGGAGGCTTCCTTTGCTGCCTGGGAAACAGTCCCTGAGACTTCCCCATTGGATTCCAGCACATGGGGGAACGCCGACCCGCAATGGCACTCCCCCAGAGACTTCTAAACATGGGTCTGAATTTAACAGGAAAATGGTTTAGTGGATGAGGTACATGGAAATCATCTTGCGTCAGCCTTGCAAGGAGGCCACTATCCTGCGTGAGCTATGTGCTCCAGAGCACACCTGTAAGAATCACACACTGAGAACTTCACCTTCCCTTTCTCCCTGCAGCCCTTGTGTTAAACTAAAACTTGTTCCAGAGGTCTGAAGGACCCTTTGGAACACCATGCGGATTGGCGTGGAGTCTGCAGGAGAAGGGAAGAATGTGAAAATAACACCATTTCCATTCATGGAAATTCTCTGCTGAATCAGAGCCTTCTATCAAAAAAGGGGGCCAAAAATTCACGTTTGTACATGCAAGGCCTACTCAAGTCAAGAGGGACATCTCCTTCTGAGCACCTCCCAGTGGCAACATACTTGACATGCTTGTGGGGGGACGGGACACAATGATCCTTAGCCTTTTTTAATTTTTAAATACATATCTGATTATTTCTAACAACAGCTTCCGGACTTTCAGAACTAGCCATATGCACTTTCGGAATCCAGCTCACAATCTCACTTGTTGCATATTGAAAATCTGTTACGTGTCCTAATGACTACAGCATGCAATACTTTCAATGTGCAACAAGTGTTGTCAAGAGATACTGTTTGCTAACTGTGGGAATGTTCAGGATGGCAGGAGAGGATACATTTTTTATTAATACCCTTCCTAACTTGCGCTAGCAAGTTCCTTTTCTTAGCAGAGTGCATTCCCCTTTAAGCAGCAGAAAACTGGTTGCAAACTCGTTGGGTTTCTTAAGACAATACGCAATTCAGTCTGGCTTGTCCAGATTGAAATTTGTTCTAATATTTTCCTGGTAAGACCCCTTGAATCCCTCCTAAAAGAATAAAGACACCACAGTCTTATTCATAAGCAATAAAAAGAAAGTTTACTCATGATCAGGCAGAGCACAGTGTGATCCCTGAAGGCAGGCTTAAGGCTTAAAGTTACAAACGTATAAAAACAGGTTTACCCCATATGTGGGTTGACCTAGTGACTGCAGTTAGCAGTCCAGGAAGTTCACAAAGGAAGATGGAAAAGAGGGAGAGTGACAGCATGCCTTGGCCTTTTACCAGGTGTGGAAAAGTCACGCCCACCCACTAGTCACATGCAAGGAAGGATGCTCCAGCCCAGGAGGAACAGGAAGTTTCAACTGGCTGGACCAAACATTCCCTTGCATGTCCACTTTAGCAAAACAAGGAATGTTGTACTTGACTGCACCCAGTGGATTACACCCCACACTAACATTCCTGGCTATGTCTCTGTTGTGGTCATCATTGATCTTGGAGAAAAATGAGTATAAATTAGGTGTCAGGTGAATATCTTGCCCATGATGACCTTTTTTTTTTTAAAGGAAACTTTGACCACTAAGAAGACTACATTTTTGCAACTCAATCACTTACATCAACCTTTCCCAGCCTGGTGCCCTCCAAACGCTTCAGATTGCAACTCTCATCATCCCTAACCATTGACCATGCTGGCCAGGAATGATGAGGCTTTGCTATAAAACATGTGGAAGGCACTAGGTTGGTTTCCACTCATCATTTCGCTACTGCTTTCATCTCAGGTGTCAGCTGCATAAAGGCTTAGCATAAGTTTCTGGTGTGTGTGTGTTTTAAAAAAGAGAAAAAGCAATGTCAGGTTTTCCTATCGCCCAGCATTAATGATTAAAAGATCAAACAAGAATCATGCAAAGCATAAAAGAGAAGGAGGATAGAAACTAATGAAAGCTCGCAGAGAGAGAGAACAAAAAAGCAAAAAGGATATCTTTGAACTCTGGAGATCTCTCCCCACTACCAGGCTGTTGTAGCGCAACTGTAACATGGGAGCACGCAACAAGTCAAGAGCGAAATGAAAATGGCTCATGCAAAATGGGACAGGAGCTTTCTGGCCACCTTGCCGCGACTTCAAAGTCGGGCTTCCAAATCAATTAAAGATGAAGATGTAGTCCTGCTGATGCTGGGAGAAATTTAAGAATGCAGAAACACTTGCTTAAGGTATCACGAGAAATGCCAGCCATTCTAATACCTCCCGAAAAGCTGCATCATTTATAATGCTGTTAATATCTACTTGCAATTGCAGTGAGCTTAGTGGGCATGGAACAGCTCTTTGTCTTTTTCAGTTTTGTTTTCTTTCTTATGGTACTCGATCAATTCATTAAAGTCATGATATATCATTCAATAGCTCTTACTTCTCTTTCAAAGCCTTGGTGTCATGGAGGGATCACACAGAGGTTTTCAGAACACACACAATACCACCTGGATGCAGACTGATCAGAAACCTGAACTAAAGGAATATTTTTGGGGAGGGGGGAGGCTTATTCCCACAATAAGTGCCAAAATGTACCCCAAAGGGTGGGGATGTAATCTTTCCCATTTCTGTTTATTGTTCTTTTTCTGCTGCTTTGTTGTGGTTCTTTTTAAAAAGTGTTATATGATGCTAAAAACACCAATCCCAGACAGGTTAGAACCAGGCAGCCAGCAGGATAATGTCATGATGCCATATAGAATCATAGAGTTGGAAGGGACACTGAGGATTAGCCCCATGCTCTAACCAACTGAGCTATGTGTAGGCAAATAAGGTTTGCTTATGTGATGATAAAGCCAGCCCTGAGTGAAGGCAATACTTCCTGCCCTCAATCTGAATAGGCAAACACATTTATTTCTGTGACCAGGGCCCTTGGGAAAAAAATGCCGAAAGGAAACTACTTGAGAGGTGAAAGCATTCATAAAAGCACTGCCTTTCATTTGGGTTCAGCCCTAATGAATTTTCTCCACATTTTCCAACATCAGTGTCTTTTTCTTCCTTCCGAAATGCATGCTTCCCTAAAGATGCCATTTGCAAAGCACTTAGCCTGGAAGTCACTTCTCCAGAAGTGTTATGTAGCCATCAAGGCATTTTTCTTTTCTTTTGAGAAGTGGATATTGTCACCACTGAAAACTTACTAAAAAAGAACACGTTTCACAATAAAGTTATTGTTCAATTAACTTGAGAAGATTCATTTTTATGACTCATGAAAGGCTTGAGTTGACCTTCATCTGTTCAGCCTTCATGATAAGCTTGAAGCAACCAGCAAAGACCTTCAACAAAGCAGATCGGCTTCTGTACTTTAGTAGTGTGCAAGGGAAAAAAGGAAGTAAAATGTTACTGTTTTCTGAGGGATATTAGAACAAAGTACATTTGAAACATAAAGTACAGGCAAACATTTGGGCAATAGAACCCAAGTAGGTATCATTCTATAAAGGCCTTCAATTCAGTCTCCCATTCTCCATCAGAAACAAAATACAGTCAAACCTCAGTTGTCGAAAGTATAATAATAATATAATAATAATTTATTATTTATACCCCGCCCATCTGGCTGGTTCCCCCAGCCACTTTGGGCGGCTTCCAACAAAGATTAAAAATACATTAAAACATCAGTCATTAAAAACTTCCATAAACAGGGCTGCCGTAATCCGTTCCAGAAGCCTGTTCAGCTTCCGAAATGTTTGACAACCGAAGTGTGGCTTCCGAGTGGTTGCAAGAGCTTCCTGCACTCAAGCGGAAGCCGCACTGGACATACGGCTTCCGAAAAACATCCGAAAACTGGAGCATTTACTTCCGGGTTTTCAGAATTCGGGAGCTGAAACGTTCCAAAACAGAAGCGTTTGGGAGCCGAGATTTGACTGTAGCCTGAAACCAGGAGATTGCTTGCAAATTGTCACGGATAGGCAAATTGTCACTGCAAGATGTAGAATGGAGCAACAGACTCATGAAGGTGTCGTTGGAGAGACACATCTGTTTTTGGTGTACAAAGTTAGCCTAAAACACCCCAATGGCTGCTATTTCAAATGAGAGAATTAAGGTTTTATCTAATGTTATCCCTACTCAGGGATCTCCTATTGGAAATAATGGGCATGACTAGTTTTCGTTCAACAATTTCAGGGGTCTACTTTGAATATTGCTTAATGGGATACAACCCTCAGCAACCAACTCTACTACAGTGGTACCTCAGGTTACATACTCTTCAGGTTACATACGCTTCAGGTTACAGACTCCGCTAACCCAGAAATAGTACCTCGGGTTAAGAACTTTGCTTCAGAATGAGAACAGAAATTGTGCTCCGGCGGCATGGAAGCAGCAAGAGGCCCCATTAGCTAAAGCGGTGCTTCAGGTTAAGAACAGTTTCAGGTTAAGAACAGACCTCCAGAACGAATTAAGTACTTACCCCGAGGTACCACTGTA